AGAAATAGCAAATAAACATAGGAAAAAAATGTTTACCATCACTAGTCATTTGAGAGATGCAAATGAAAACAATACTGAGATTCCACCTCACCCCAGAAAAAATGGCTGCTATTGTGCAACTGACCAATAACAAATGCTGGTGGGGCTGTGGGGAAAAAGGAACCCAGATCCACTGTTGGTGGGAGTGTAGACTGGTGAAACTACTGTGGAAATCAGTATGGAGATACCTCAAAGAACTAGGATTTGAGGTCCCATTTGACCCACTGAAATTCTTGCCTAGCACTAAAAAACTCAGAAGCAAATAAACAACTCTCATCACAGGATATCTTTTAAAAATCCATGTTCCGTATCAATTCCAAAGCCAAGTAACTTCCTTGTAGCCATATATTTGCTAGAACATCCATTACTTCTTCACCTTAACAAAAATCTGGCTTGACCTTATCAAGTATCCTCCTCCACAAAATTATCAAATTAGTTGTGTCCTCCTCCAGAAAATTAGCAAATTAGTTTATTAAGTCTCCTTCCTTCCTTCCAGAAAATTCTTTCGCATCTTCAAATCTCAACCCAAATGTCATCTCTTTCTAGAATTGCAGTTTTCTGATGAGCCAGCCAAGGATTATTTCCTCCTCAGTTCTCCTTGCCTTTCAGTTCCCTTCCTGGATAATAAATCCGTAGTTCCATTAAAAGGGCTCTACAGGGCCGGGGATTTAGCTCAGTGGTTCTGGTGCCTGCCTCGCAAGTGCAAGGTCCTGAGTTCGATCCCCAGAACCAAAAAAAAAAAAAAAAAAAAAAGGAAAAGGACTCTGCAGAATTTGTGAGCCCATGGATTCCAAATTTAGATAAAAATCTGATAGATATGGCTCTGTTATTGCCCTGATCCTAGGTCAAAAGTGACAAACCAGAGGTAGGATACACAGGTGGGAAGTAGAACAGTCAAGAGCTGAGGAGAAGAGAACAGACACTTTCCATAAACACAGAAAAGAGATTTCTGGGAACACCCTGCCCTGGTCCCTAGGCACCTGGATTATGTTCATTAGAACATAGTCAATATGATGACCACAGTAGCAATAAAAGGCTAAATTAGGTTCATTATACTATCTGCAAGGAATGCAAAAATACTACACACAAATATGTGAGCAAGTATTTAATAAAGTTAGAAACAAATGTGTAAAGTTTAAGCCTTTAGAAGGTGGGCATGGTGTCATATGCCTGTAATCCGGGCACTTGGGAGGCTAAGGCAGGAGGATGGCTGCAAGTGTGAGCCCACCATGGGCTACATAGTGAGTTCGAAGTCAGCCTGAATGACATAGTGAGACCCTGCCCCCCCCATCAAAACCAAAACCAAAAGTTTTAGCCATTACCTAGCAACCATTTGCCTAGGAATCAGTCATGATAGGGGTTTCTCATTTCCTGAAACTACATATAGGAGAAGGTTCTTGCTGGTCACTTGTACATCTGAATCACTGAGATAAAATGGTTCCTGGGTAAAATCCAATCAACTATGAGGCACTCTGAATTACCCTGGCACTATGTTATTCTCTCTTAGTACCCACCTCATTTTATTTCATATTCTGGATAATTGTGCATAAAAGTCATACATTTCCTGAATTTTGTGAGTTAGATCATTGTCTAAATTATTTCAGTTTCCCCAGTGCCTGGCACAATCATGGTACTCAAAGAAAGATAGGAATTGACTATTGAGCAAAAAGGGTAAGGATTCCCTTCCCTTTACTTTTATTATATTTTTCCACAGAACTTAAAAAATTTAAAAATCACTTTAAAACTATTCAAATTAAATTTTAACTGTGACCTAATAGGAATAGGCTTTTATAAGATAAAACCATAGTAAGAGAAAAATCAGACATAATCCACAATGGCAAACTACAAAATTGAATTTGTTTTCCCCAAATAAAGTAATTGGATTAAACTGTTTCTAAAAGTTTGAGTCCTGTTGAAAATAATAAATCATCCTCTTCAGTTTAGCAAAGCTGGAAAAAACATAAAATACTAGGAACTATAATTTATAACCACACACTACAGGAAGCTGAACTTGGGGGATAATACTATGTTCAAACAACTGTATTCTGAAAGAAATAAGCACATTTAAGTAACATTATTTTTCCTTGAGCAACATGTTCCTCCAATGGCAACTATTCTTGACTTATAAAATGGTGCTCAGTCTAAACAATTAAAAAAATTTTACAAAAGTGTTGCCATCAACTTTATTGGTTAATTTCCTGCCAAAAGAAGTTACGTTTTCTCTACATTGCTTTGGTGGATTTCACTGTTCTCCCGAATGGCTCCTCACAAGCTTACTTAGCAAGTTCCATCCACCGGAGGATGTCAGGAGGGAGACAGGTCTTGCCCCGGACTCGTTTGGTGGGTAGCTCTGGAGGTGCCAGGTGGAGCAGGGCTTCTTCGAGCAGGCGGATGCCACCAGGCTGCTGCAGACTCGCCAGACTGCCAGTTCGGACAGCGGTCGGATGGAGGCTCAGCAAGTCTGGGTGTTGGCAACTGATCTCCTGTGAAACCACAAACACATGTAGCTGTTTAGCATATGGTACTTAGACCATGTCCTCAGAAGTGATTAATTCATTTTTACCAAACATAAAAGAAAGTTTTGACATAGTTATATCACCAAAGGCTTCTTTCTCTGCATAATTCTATTAAGAAATTTCCCTTTAATATTCAATTTGCTCAAAGGAGGAAATGATCATTTATTTTTATATTTCTAACCCAGGAATTAACTTAAAACTAGAAAAACACTGGCAAAATATGAGGACTGAAGATGTAAAGATGTGGGTGTGTATACAAGCAGATATATATATACTCTCCCTATATATCTAAATAACAATTGCAATTTCCAGGAATATTTAGCCTGACTTGCTAAAAATAGCAGATGAAATAAAAGATTTCATATTCAACCTCCCAAAAGGGGGTGCATTCATCTCCCTCTTAAGTCTACACAACCCACTTTCTTCCATCCAGGAGCTATTAGTAATATTTGAATAAAGGAGTCAGGAATTATTATAATGACTTCACTTTGTAAGTCTGTATTTGAGAGTATTATAAACATCAAAAAACATGAACAGTGTGACATCACTTTCACTGAAACAGCCTGCATGTGCACAAGGTTCTGTGCACAAACTAGAAGGATGGCCTGGACACATGTGCACTGGCCCACCTGCTCCCCTCACAGCTGTGCCACATACCAGCTGTGGCCATGGAAGAAAGTAAACTCTCCAAAGTAATCAAACAAAAATGTCTGTCACCCTTACAAAGAAAGAAAATCCAAATAAAATCGTATTTCAACTAACAATGTAGGAAAGGCTTTGTCTTAGTTGAAATGTGAGATTTTGAGGCAACCCCAATTTAAAGAGGAAAACTCACAAGAAAACACAATTTTTTTTTTACCCCAGTGCCTTCACACTGAGTTACCTACATCCCAGCCCTTTTCATATTTATTTATGTTTTAATTTTGAGACAGGGTCTCCATTAAGTCACTAAGTTTCCCAGGCTAGGTTTCAAGTTGGAATCCTCTTGGCTCAGGCTCTCAGAGTGCTGGGACTGAAGTTTTGCACTACCATGCCTGGCTCAAAACATCTTTATGTAAATATATCCCTAATTTTTAAGTAATTCTTATTCTATAATTACTTATGGACTATCTTCTAGGCTTCAGGTACTGTAGTAAGCAGTGTTATTCATGATGGCATGAAATTGAAGATTTGTTCATCCTATGTGCCAGACAGTAGTCTTTGTAAAACTATTTTTATTATAATATTTGAGAAAAGAGGGCAACATACACATAAAACTAGCAGGATATTTGACATTTTATGAAACTAATGCATCAATGTTTGGCTTGATGGAAGTGGTTGCAATTCTTAGTTCTCAAGATGCTCATCAGATATTTGTGATATGATTTTACTCTTCATGTGCTTCAAAGTTGTGCACAAATGTGGATACTGCCAAAAACGATGACATGAATAAGTCATGTCCATGAAGCAAGGGATATTTGTACCTCAGAAGACAGGTCTTATAAAACTCTAACGGTGATGATCAAATTTTTCTTTGAGTTGAATTAATGAAACTCTATACATTCCATCTGAAAATTTGCAGGTAATATATTTATGTTGACTGAGAAGGGAGTTGCAAATATACTACAAAAATGATGATTTTGGGGAAATTTTGAAACCTATTTTCAAATTCCCATATCAAAATGGAAAGCAAGAATGTTTATTTTCGCTGTTCATAGGACTGTGTAGCCAATGTACCAAAATGCATAAAATTATTTGTCATAGCATTAGCTTGTCATCATTTAGGTTTTTCTGTACCGGGGATCGAACTCAGGACCTTGTGCTTGTGAGGCAGGCACCACTGAGCTAAATTCCTGGTCCAATTTAAATTTTATTTTGAAGGTTGTTATGGTTTGAAACATATCACAGATTAAGTTGATTTTCACCTTGAAGATACATGTTTAATTCATTTAAATTAGTCAAACTCATCAAAAAATGCTAAATCTGAAGCCACTTTTCATATTCAAGTTCTGGCACAATTTTTCCTTTTGATTCCATAATTAATTTGATTTCACTTTGTAAATAATAAAATATTTTCAGCATTTTACCTCTAACCACCTTACTTCAGAAAAGTTAAGTGATGTTCCCATAATCTGTACCTTTTTTGGTGGGGTGCAGCACTTGAGGGTCAAACCAAGGGCCTTTGCATTGAGCTATACCTAATGATTTTTTTTTTTTTTGGAGTCACTGTCTTGATGTCACTAAACTGCACAGGCTGCAATCCTTCTGCTTCAATCTCCCAGAGTGCTTGAATTATGGGCATCACCACACCTGCCTAGCACTTATACTTTCAAGGAACTCCTAGTGATGATTCAATCCCTTAGATCTAATGAAATTCACAGCTTTGATGACTATTTGTATGATATTACCTATTAAAGCTTTGATGCATAATTTTTTTTTTCTTTTGGCAGAACCAAGGATCAAACTCCAGAGCTTGTGCTTGCCAGGCAGGCACAGTGCCACTGAGCTACATTCCTGGCCCTTCGTGCATAAATTTTTAAATGTATAATACAGTGGTATTTCATCAAACGTGAACTACCAGCAGCAAATGCACTGTCTTCTGTTAGCTTTATAAGTCCAACCATCACTAGGGCACCACAAGTAGCTATACCAGACAGGTTGACAAAGAAAACTACCTTAACATACTTTTTACTATTTCACACAAAGAGATTCTGAGTTGTATTTTTAAAAATGGCACAAAGAAGCCATTTCTTCAATGACATTATATTTGTTACCAATATTTCTAATAAAAATGGCAAGTTCAACCATAAGCATTATCTACTACTACAGCATAAAATTTGAAACTAGTAGCTTTACTCTCCAAATCTTTTTCAATCGATTTTTCTATTTCTTCAAATTGTTTGGCTATAGTCTGGTGAGATAACTGACTTTAGAAGAATCCATTATTTTATCAGGACCAATATCATCTATAAAGGCACATACATCTGCCATGATCAAGAAGCCATCTATTTACTTGCTTCTTTATGACCCTACACTATTTTAATATTTCTGTGTTACTCAAGTACTGTGGCACGCTGCTATCTAATGTCCCTTCTGTGCGTGTCTGTGGACTCTTTATTACACATGGAGAATGCAAGTTCTGGGAGAAAAGAGATTTTGCCTCTTCATAGTTGTGGCCCCATCACTTAGATCAACACCTCAGGAGGCAGGAAAGAATTTGGTGAAATTCTACATATGGAAAAATAACTAAACAAAATGAGGGTTTTATCAAAACACTAAACGCACTAACATATTACAAAATAAAACACTTCTACTAAGTTTAATTTTGGATTATTCTGTTATATATACGTTAGGGTTTGTTTTGGAAAAAAAAGTCAAATAAATTACACGTGCCCACTTGAGAAGAGGTAACCCAAACAATACATCCACTCTGTTATACCTTGTACCCATCAAGAGTTTCAACTCAGGAAACAAAGTGATGATGACATTAACCACATGATGACAAAAGCAGACAATGTGTGCTTCTGGAGAATGTGTACAGACTCTTACCTGGATGCAAGACACAAAAGGTGGAAAGAACAAAAAAGTGGTGTTAAGAAAACGATTGAAGTCTTCGAGCAACTTTTGAATGATGTTGTTTTTTTCAGACACTGTTTTAAATCTATCTATTTCTTTGAGTATCCCAGAAAACAAGCTGCTAAAGAGCTGTTTTGCAATTAATGGGTCTCTCTGTAAAAAATTCAAAACAAAGACAAATTAGGATCTGAAATAAAAATGCTGTAACTCACCATTTCTATCAGAGCTTTACTTGACCATACAGATGGTTGCAAACACATCCATTACACATCTACATTCTGCTTAGGGAGTTTTAAGGGGTATTTCACAAGGGGAATATTTGGAATTTAACCAAATGTATGGCTTGATATATGCTATGAAAGCACAGACCTTCAACAGAGTGATGAACTTAAAAGTTGCTCTGATCAATATGTAACCACATAGCTCATCTCTTGAGTTGAATCTGTTACCCCAATTCCTCACCTTTAAACTGGGGTCAACAGAACAAGCTTCAGAGCTGAGGTGAAGACTAGCCACAATAACGTACTTCAAGTGTTTGGTGAGGTGCTTAGAAGAACCTGGAGACTAGACTGGATTCTTAGGTATTATCCCTGCACAGCCATCATAAATAAAACTTAGAATAATTAAGTGATGAGTTTAAATAAAATGCCAATTTAAATTTTTGAAGTTCCAGCACAACCATTTAACTGTTAAACCTATCAAACCCTATGTTTCAGTTCTATCTAATAGCATATTGCCTGTTTATTGCTTTAACCTCCATACACTCCATAAGAACATTAGCCTTCATTTGTGTTTATAACACTGGTACTAAAAACAGTTCCTGGTATACACTACTATACTTGTTTAATAAAGGCATGCATACATGAATAAATAAAAACCAAGTTACCTTGTTTGATAAAAACTATGAATAAGACATACAAAACTGATTTATCCTTTATTGTTTATTAATTTAAGTAATGTATTTGTCTTGCTATAGTTATATTGTTACTACAGTAAATGAAATTTTAGAAAATATGGCCTAAAGACGTGGTAAGACCCTGTCTCAAAATAATAATTAAAAAAAGAGGGCCAAAGATGTAGCTTACTCTAAAGACCTTGAGTGCAATCCCAGATACTGCAAACCAAACCAACCAACCAACAAACAAAAAATCCTGAGTTGAGCCAGGGATTTAGCTCAGTGGTTCAGCTGCCTACCTTGCAAGTGCAAGGTGCTAAGTTCTATCCCCAGTACCAAAAAAAAAAAAATCCTGAGTAACTAAATTAAATATCATCCATAATTAAAGCACACAAAGATAATCACTGCCACCTTTTGACTAGTTTTTCACTTACCTGCACATTTTTTTATTTGGTATTGGTTGTCTGATAACCTGTTCTTTTGGTTTTGTTTTTTTTGGGTACCGGGGATTAAACTCAGGTCCTTGCGCTTGCAAGACAGGTGGCGGAACCACTGAGCTAAATCCCCAGCCCTGATAACCTGGTCTTTTCATTTAACACATGGTTGGTAGGTTTCCATGTGTACAGCCACTGCCTAAGTGCTATATGCAAATTCCTTCCTGTTCAAAGAGTCTTAAACGCTTACTCTGGTAAGACAACTGCAGAAGTGATAAAGTATCATCCTCAACATCAGGCAGCTGCTGGTGAGCATATCCTGTGATGGCTGGTTTACATGATCCCCTTTACTTCACACAGGCAAAGCTTGCAAAGAAGAAAGACAGCCCCAGGAAGGCTAGAGGGCCTCGTCTGTCTTGCCCACTGCTGTATTCTAGCACTTAACAGCAGTCACTGGCATATAGGAGGCACCCCACAATGAATATTTGTTAAATGAATAAATTACTGATATTAGAAATATCAGGCAAAGTGTCTCTTTAAAGAACAGAAAAAATGTGTAGTGTTGCTTTTTCAAAACAACATGTAACGGGGCAGGGATTTAGCTCAGTGGTTTCACCGCCTGCTGCGCAAGTGCAAGGACCCAAGTTTGATCCCCAGTACCAAAAAAAACCAAAAACCAAAAAACAAAAAATAAAAACCCAACATGTATCATCTTTATTTTTTCCAAGCACAAATGAGATAAACTAACTTAGATATAGGCCTCCTATTATTCAGAGATTTGCTAATTTGTCCCCATCTTGACACATGATTGATCTCTCCAACATAGACAAGGCTCTCTGGACAGTAAGGGTTTATATCACTGTGAAGCAGCAATGTTGAGTCACCAGGGAACTAGAGAACTGGGGAATAATAAGAGTACAGAAAGACAGGAGTCTGGCCAGGCATGATGGCTTATGAATGTAATCCCAGCTACTTTGGATCCTAAGGCAGAAAGATCAAAAGTTCGGGGCTTGTCTGGTCCACTTAGCAAGACTTTGTCTCAAAAAAAAACAAAAAAAACAAAAAATATATATATATATAAAAATATATATATATAAATATATATATATAAAAAAATATATATATATATACAGGCCCCCAACCCCCCAGTATGGGGGAGCAAACTCAGGACCTTGTACTTGCCTGGCAGGCACCTTGCCACATTGGCCACTCAAAAAAATTTTTTAAAGGGCCAGAGGTGGTTTAGT